AGGGAAAGGGGCAGCTTTTGTTGTGATAGAACACCCGTAGGTAAAAGTTTGGCTTGGCCCCTTGTAGCTGAAGGAGGAAGGGAGTGCTTTTAGGGGGAACTACCACGCATTTTCGTATCTTATGGGAGAAAACACAGAAAATTCCCACCAAGTAGTCCGCCTCACGAGGCAAGGTGCTGAACATTCCATACGCTATCAAGTCTACTCGATTTTTGGAACAATGTGTACAACAAAGCCGTCACCAGTGTAACCCCACGCCCTAATGCTCACCAGCGGCGCCAGTTGTCACTGTGCCATGAGTAGGGCAATAAAAAATAATAAGATAAAGTAGTTAGAAAAGTTTATGAAACAAATCTGTAATTTTTTGTTAAGTGTTGATGTTTCAGCAATTTTTTATGCATCTCTCTCTCTCTGTGTGTGTGTGTGTGTGTGTGTGTGTGTGCAACTCTCTACCTCATTAATAAAAGACATTTGACTTCATTTAAAAACAATTTCTAATTTTTTAATACAATGAATATATTTTAGAAAAATGAAAGCAAAAACAACAGTTGAATTATTATTGTAACGATCTCTCTTTTGCATTGAAGTTTCTCTTTCCATGAATAAATAAACTTAATTTACTTCGATAAAACTTCAAATTATGGAGTAAGATTTTTCATATTTTTGATCATTTTGCTAAAGATACGAAAGAAATACGTATATCTAAATTTAATTACGTGTCGTACACTGCAGCGATGAAAAATTACGGGGAAAAAATTGTTGCCCTTTAAATTAACCGTAATTAGTGTTTTTTTTACAAAAACAAAGACTAATTATTCATTTCTTTGTGAAAGAAAAAAAGAGCTTGAATTTTCTTTCTTTTTTTTTTAATCCCTTGTATCAAAAAGAAAAAAGAAAAAACGCGGATACTCGATTCATTAATCTAATGCCACTTTGTTAATAAGCAACGACTACATCTAAAGATTTGAATCTCGCTTAGATCGCCATAATTGTATAGAAAAAAATTAGAGCTCTAAAGACAAAAAAAAAAAAAAGGATAATTTATTCATAAAAATGTTACTCTAAGAGCGCTGGAAAAAAAGGAACAGAACATGAATAGTTAATGTACTTCATATCGTCAATTAATTAAAAACTTCCATGTTTTAACTAGGAGTTAAGAGTTAAAAAATATTTGTTACTGGGCGGTGGAACCGTATTTTGCATTAGCACTGATTAAGGAAAGTTAGCTAATGAACATGTTTAGAAAGTTTTACAATTCTTTTCTCCTATGATTTTTTCTGGTGTCTTTTTAAAAAATTTTCTTTGCCGAATTATTGACTGAGCCTGATGGTCGTGTGACCACCACTCTAGCGCTCTGTGACACAGGCTTAGGGTTCGAATCATGGCTGTGCCATGTTTCGGAATCCACCTTAAACCGTTGGTCCCTGTGTAGTATGGCTGTAGAGCATTGGGCGTTGGACTGGTATCTCGACCCCGTAAAAAGAAAATATCTCCTGTCTCGAAATCTGCCAGTAGGAAATGGCCTTGGCTTACCATGGGGCTGTTTGGCCGATAATGATGAGATTTTGACTATTTTTAGGCAAAATTTTCAAAACTGTTATTATTAAAAGATATTGAATATTACAACTTGTCATTAATTCTGATTATAATTTTGTATGCCAATGAATATTACAAAGCTGACAATTGTCATCATCATCATCATCATCATCATCATCATCATTGGCACAACAGCCCCTTGGTGGGCCAAGGCCATTTGCCTACTGGTAGATTTCTATTGGCAGTAGATGTTTTCTTTTCACGGAGGTAGAGTTGTCAGTCCTACGCCCAACGCTCTACAGTCCTATTAGACTGGGACCTACGGTTTAAAATAGAATTCTAACCAAATATCCGGTTAGTCACTCGACCATTAAGTCACTGACAATACAATTTTAAAATTTAATTTATGATTCTTTAATAGATATTTAATTTATTTTATTAAAAAAAATTTTTAATTTTATAACGGTAAAATTATTTATGGTTCTTAGAAGAATGTAAATATAAATTTTTATTAAAGACATAAGTTCTAGCAAAATTATAGATTTTTCTTATTTAATTGCATAAATTCTTAATTAATATTCTGATTATATGAAGTATTGCAACCAAACTTAAAAAATTTCTTTTCCTAATATTTCTAGAATAATATTATATTATTATTTCTAATTATTAGCTGATTTTTATTTCTTAATATAAAAAGTAAATATTAACAAACTTAAGACAATAAATAGCTTTGCTATTTATTTTCGATTAATAGGAAATTACTTGTCGCCAAATAAAAATTTCTGCCCAATATCTAATTACTGTTGGATTGGAATTCTGTGATTTATACACAGGTTACCACATTTGGCGATTTGGCGCCCAATTACAATTGGCATTTCTTTAACTAAAAAAGTACCCTTTTCTATCAGTTATATGTTTTTTTATCATATAAATCCATATGAATAGATAAAATAAGTTCTTTCTTATTTAAATTTCGATTTTAGTATTATTATTTAATATAGTTCTTAATTGATTAATAGAACATAAAAATCATAAATATATTGATCTAAAAATTCATAAATTATTTTTTTAAAGCTGGAATAATACTCTGCAAAACATATGAAAGTGCAATATTTTTTAAATTTGCTATTTATCTAATATAAAATTTTTAGTTCTAGTATTTTTTTTATCCCAATTTATAATTTTTTTTAAAATTGATAATAGCTATTCAAACTTATCTTTTTAATAATGGTTTTCTGAACAATTTATTTTTCCAACTGTTTTTTTAATTTATTACAGTTAAATATTTATCTTCAAAATATTTATAAAATACATATAGTTTTTATGTATATATATATATATATATATATATATATATATATATATATATATATATGCATATGTATATGTAGATATAAATATATATATATATAAAGAAGATAATATATATAAATATTTATAAAATACATATAGTTTTTTATGTAGATATATATATATATATATATATATATCTTTAGCACAAAACATTCAAAAAGCAACATTTCAAAATATTTATTAAATATCAAAAAGTTAATAATTTAGTTATTATTCAGCTATCCTGATATGTTACGACTGATTAAAAAAAAACAATTATAATTTTAAAACTTCGAGAAAAAAAAAAAAGATAATCTAGGGAAGAATAAATAATTATCTTAATGAAAAGCGTCGCATACTTAAAATGCAATAATTTAAAATCTGAACTGCTCTTTGCGAAAAATCGATTAAATTTGCGAAACAGATACGACCCCCATTAAATGCGAAAATAAAATGGCCATTTATCTTCATTACAGCACCGGCCATAATTTGTCTTGCTGAGAGAAAATAACGCAATTGGAGCGACGTACTTATATATTTGCAAACTGCTCTTTTGTCTCTCTTAAGAAAAGTGGTTTGTTCAATCCTATTATGTTTGTTTATTAAGAGAGATCGTTCCCATCGATTTAGGAACTCATTCTATTAGCTTTCCGAAAAGGAACGTTTTTGAAAACATTCATAAAAGAAGAACTTGTACTTTCCACTGATTATAAACCAATAAAACGTAAAGATCCAACTCTTCCAAATATATTTCCAATTTGGTCTTTTTTATCTTTATCTTTGTGGAAAAATTCCGCTTTTCTTAAAACTCTGCAATGATTGGTAGTAGTAGCGGAAAACAATGTTTCTAGTTATAGAAAGTATGGTTTTTTTTTTCTTTTTTTTTTTCGGGAAAGACGAAACTACAGATAGGGTACTTTACTTAACGAGAAGAAATTAAAGAAGACAAAAGATTTTTATGAAAAAAAATAATATAATAAAATAAAAAAAATTGGAAAGACAGAGGAGAAAAAAAAAGAGTAATTCTATCTTTGGAAGATAAATACCGTGAAAGACGGGAATCAAATTGCTCTCTATAAATCAAAGAAAATGGGTCCAATAATATTGGATTCTTTGCTCAAGAAACAAGAGACAATTTCCAGGCGTTTAAGGGGAACTCTTGGAAATATAAATGAATTGCTTCCTTGTCTCCACTTGCTGTAAGGGACGTTGCTGTTATCAGTGGTTTATGTCACACCCAGTTATGGGAGACATCCTTATGTCTGATGTTGATTCTATGTGAAAAATTTTGCTGAAATTCATGTGATTCTACAGCGGTTCTTAGTCTTTTTGCTCAATGGATCTCTTTTGCTTGTAAGAAAAAGACGGATGCCTTTCTTAAATATATAAAATTCAATTAAAAATAAATCAGTTGTAAATAAAAGTGAATAAAATGGGATAAAATAGGAGATATGATTGTGCCCAAAAGTAAAACCAATTTTCAATTTAAGTTTCACGGGCATATGGAATTCCAGTTTTTTTTTCTTCTTCTTTTTTAGGTTGTTGGCACTATCCTTGACATCTGTGTGAAATTTCACGTCAAAATATTCATTGAGTGTTTGAGTTACGCTTGGCTTTGTAAGACGCTAAAAGTGATTTCGGCGATTTTTGAAATGTCTGAATTCTTTGAGCAAAGAACTTGCATTCAATTCTGTTTGCGGAAACGTATAGAATGTTGCAGAAGGCATTCGGTGAGCATTCCTATATCGGAAAGAAATGTTTAGAAGTGGTATAAACAGTTCAAAGAAGACAGAGAACGTGTTGAAGACAAAGAGCGATCTGGTCGACCCAGTTATTGGAGACATCCTTATGTCTAATACTGATTCTATGTGAAGAATTTTGCTGAAATTCATGTGGTTGTAAAGCACAGGTTCTTAGCCTTTTTGTTCAGTGGATCCCTTTTCCTAATAAAATACATTTCTCAGACTCAAATTCAATGAAAATGAATCAGTTGTGTTAAAAATAGTACTAAAATCGGAGATGCAGTTATAACACGTTTTTTTTTTTTTTTATTTTTTATTTTTATTTTTATTTTTTTTTTTTTTTATTTATTTATTTTTTTTTATTTATTTATTTTTTTTTTTATGTAAGCCAACGGCCGTACCATGCTGAATATACCGATTCTCGTTAGATCACCGAAGTCAAGCATCATTGGGCGCGGTCAGTACTTGGGTGGGTGACCATCTGGGAACACCGCGTGCCGTTGGCAAATTTGGGACCTGAATGGCCGAGTGTCTAGCGCTCGGTGCCACAGGTTTCGGGTTCGAATCCCGGCGGTGCCATGGATGTTTGTAGTGGTTCGGAATCCACTTTAAGCCGTAGGTCCCGGTCTCCTATGACTGTAAGAGCGTCACGGAGCAAAAGTCAGGCTTCTACCTACGGGTGCTCCATCACAACAGAAGCTGCTTCCTTCCCCTTCAATCATGAGCACGTATGGGCTCGTGGGCTTGGCCAGCCAAGTGGGATAAGAAACAACAACAACAATTTTTTTTATATATCTAATAACAGGCATTATGTTGAAGTACATCATGTTTCAAATTTCATTATTAAAAATTTGCCAATGCAAATACTGTTATTTATTATGAATGAATGTTCATTTGTTATGAATACAATTAGTCATTATTTATTATGAATGAATGATTATTTCATCTATCGTTCACAAATAATTACAAGTTCATCTCTAACAAGGATAAGCGACCTGATGGCCAATTGGATAGCGCTCTGGTCTTTGGTACCACAGTCTTCAGATTCGAATCCTAGCTGTGACATAGATGTTTGTTAGTGGTTCGAAATCCACGTTAAACTGTAGGTCCCGATTTAATTAGCCTAAAGTGTTAATGCTTAACCAAACTGCCAAGATAAGATCGAGGGTTCTGCGTATTGCTTATCTTAGTACAACCATGACATTGATACCATAGATGTCATTAATGAACTATCTATTATTTCTATACAATCGATACAACTAATAACTAATTTCACAAACATTCAACACAAATATAGTTAATACTATTATAATTTATAATAAATAATTGTAATTAATACTGTAATAATTATAATTTATAATATATATTCCTTCTTCATTAGCGCAACAGCTTCATGATGGGCCGAGGCCGTCTGCCTACTAGCAGATTTCGAGACAGAATATGGTTTACTTTTCACGTGGTAGGGTTGTCAGCCCTGTGACCAATGTTCTACAGTCATATTAGACTGAGACCTACAGTTTAAAGTGAGTTTCGAACCACTTCAAACATCCATGGCTGCTCGAATCCGAAACCTATGGCACCGAGTGCCAGAGCACTAGATAATATAGTATTAGCTTTAGAAATATTTGATTTAATTAGAGGTCATAAAAAATAAAAAATGATTTTTATCTGTTTTAAAGACATTGGTTTAAAATTAACACTACAATCTTTGTACTAATAAAAAAAATCGTTCTGAATTATTTTGAATTTTTCTTCTCTGTGCTATAAAGACATCGTAATTGGCACCTCTGCAAGGTGCCAATTACCAATCCGTGCCAATCTGTTAAGCAGGAGGTTGTTACTGTGATTATTTTCCTGAGTAGTTAACTGATCCTGCTCTAGATTATTTCTCAATTCAAAGGATAACAATAGGCAATGTATAGAAATCAATACCTCTCCTTTATATTTAAAAAAAAATTATCCTTGAATTTTTAGTCTTATATTTGAAATTTGCTTAACTATATGTCATTTTAAATTCATTTTAAAATTAACACATCAAATTTATAATTATAAAAAAATCAGTTTACAATTTCTGAAGATTGTATCAAAGTAGTCATGTAAGTATATATAAAATAATTTTTGCAGAATACATTAATATCTATAATATTCATTCGCTCCAATTACTGTATACCACTTATCACTTGCCTGTGGATATTTTAAATCATCTATAATTATAAGTATTGTCAAAATTCTATATTAGATTAATTACATAAATGATACTATATCGTAGTTTTTTTATTAAATAAAAAATCTCCTCAATTTTAAATTGCTATTATGATGTTTTCATTTCATAAAAGAGCTTCAATCCAACTTAATATTATGCACGGAAACTAAATAGCAATGGTTGACGTCTGATTTATAATACCTATTTTTAGAAATTTTGCTAATAAAAGTGCAAATGCCAATAATTGTTTTTAAACTTACAACTAAAAAATAAAACATTATCTAATTTTATTTCTTTGGTTAAATTCAAACAATTTTGTTAAAAAAATAAAACATTGTACGTTTCGTAACGTTTAACTGACAAGGACTGAAAATGTCAACCAGATAAACTGTGCTTGATTTTTATTTGTCTTAATTTTCCTTGACAATGCTTGACTTATTGTCAAACAATGTCACTTTTAAATTGCTTTTTATTAAATTTTTATTATCTAATTTTATTTTTTTTTTGGTAAAATCAATCAATTTCAAAACATAATACATTTTATAATATTTATCTGAAAATGTTAACAGATAAAATAGCCCCTGATGTTTCTTTGTATCTTAATATTCCTTGAACAATTCTTGACTTATTGTCAAACAATGTCACTTTTTAAGTACTTTTTTTTTTAAATTTTTATTATTTAATTTCATTCCTTTGGTAAAAATCAATCAATTTTGTTAAAAGAATAAAATATTGTACGTTTTGCGTTTTGTAACGTGTAACTGACAACGCTTGAAAGTTTAGCACTTGAATTTTGTTTGTACCTTACTTTTCCTTGAACAACGTTTGCTTTATTGTCAAAAGAATGTTACTTTTGAATTTCTTTCTTTTTAAATTTTTATTATCTAATTTCATTCCTTTGGTAAAAAAAAAAAAAAAAAAAATCAATTTTTAAAAAAAAAAAAAAAAAAAAAAAAACGTTTTTCTTAAATGTTAACATTTGAACTTGTTAATAACACTTGAATTTTGTTTGCATCTTAATTTTTCTTGAACAATGCTTGACTTAGTTAAACATTGTTACTTTTGAATTCCTTAAATAGATTTTATAATCATTAGAAAAAATATATTTATTTTAAAATTTTTAATTTACTTTTTAATGCAGGTTTTAAAATATTCATTAAATAATCATTCCAGAGTTAAACTAATTTATTTTTTGATTCATCGCTTTTTGGATCTCATACCATTTTGCTTTAAAACTCTACCATACACTCACATAATGAACCCAGAGACAGAGAAAGCTTTTGGGCCCCTAAAAAAAGAAAAGGACTTGTCAAGTTCATCTGATTCATTGCCGTTCGACTTTTAAGTGGGTACAAGAATGACGGAAAAAAAAGTCTCTCTGAAGTCCATTCTTTGTTTCATTCCAGCTATTATCCGTCCATTCCTCCTTCATTCTTTGGGATATTTTTAGACGAGAATGGTAGACGAGCTGGAGTGGATGATGAGCAATAAATCAAGCCATATGAAAGAGATGTTGAAAAACGATGAAATGTATCAAGATGGGTTTGCTCTCTTTCCGTTTCACTTGGCGAATAATTGCGCCATTCAAGCTTCGTTTGTTCCAGGGATGATTTGCTCCAGAAGAATTTCATTGAGACGAGAGTGGAGTTTGTTATATTTTGATGACAGCAGATGGTTCCAATTCGTCTACATTGCAATGAAATATTTCGTACTATTTGTCATATAAAAGATTTTTTTTTTCTTATCCCACTTGGTAGACAGCAAGTCCAAGAACCCAAATAAATTAGTGTAATCTAAATTTATTTTTAAAGGGCATTTCTAATTTGCGTTAGCCCATGTGGTCTCATGGAAGAAGGGAAAGGGAGAGCAGCTTCTATTGTGATTTATTATACAAAATTTTTAATATTTTAATATTTCAATTATATCTGTCATTTCTAATTTACATTAAGTTGACTTATATTACAAAAAAAGGTTCTAAAACTATTATTTTAACTATTAATCTAAATACAGTTAGTTTAATTTGCTAAAAAAAATTTGTAAAACTTTGACATTTATTATACCTTTTTCTTCTTCATTGACACAGCAGCCCCATAGTGGACCTAGGCCATGTTCTTACTGGTAGATTTCAAGACAGGTGATGCTTTCTTTTTACGGGTAAGGTTGTCAGCCCTATGTTCAACGCTCTACAGTCATTTTAAATTGAGAAATACGGTTTAAAATGAATCCCGAACCAATACAAACATCTCTGGCATCGAGCGTCAGAGCGCTAGTCACTCGGTCCCATTTATTTACCATATAGTTTTATTTAGTTTTTCAAAATATTTGTTAAATCTTTCTCAAAAATTATAAATTTGCAATGTTACTTGTGAAAGATTATCTTAAGATAAAAAAAAAGAGTAAATCTTAAATCATATTATTCATATAAAAAGTAAGAATTATTAATAAAGATTTATTACCTTTTATTATTACCTTTATAATTTTATTATTACCTTTATATTATTACCTTTAAATATTATATATTATTACCTTTTCATTTATTAGCTTTATTATATTATAATTATTATTACCTTTTCATTATTTCAATATGGATTTACTTCTTAACTATTATCAAAATATGAATTTGTTCATGTTTATCTTCCTTCATATGTCACTTAAATACGCTTAAAAATATATTTTAAAGATAAACACTTCGAAACTCCATGTTTTAAAATCTCAGACTCCACTTTTTAATGTTTATCTACGTTAATTCGTTTTCATTTATTTCTATTAAATTATTTGCGAAGTGTCTTGACAACACTCTCTTATATTCGGTGAAATATAACAGTTCCAGTATTTCGGAAAGTTTACTCTAATTAAATAAATATGTGAAAGCTGTTTAACCATGCAAATCCGAAGATGATAAACAGCAAAAAGTATTTATGGCTCTCAGTTGGTTCCAGTATACATTCAATTCGCAATAAATTCCAGTTTAGCATACTCCAATGAGCAAAACACCTCCTTATTAATTAAGCAGTCGTTAAAATCGCATTCGTTTTCAACTCTGGCAAGATATTGAGACAGAACTAACAAAAAAAAAAAAAAAAAAAAAAAAAAAAGAAAGATATTTCAAATTAATTCGTTCGCGAATTTCATTTTCGAAGTTTTTTAATTGGGCATTTCCTTCGATCTGTTAAAGACATTCTTCTTCTTCATTGGCGCAACAGTCCCATTGTGGACGAGGTTTGCATGGTCTGCTTATTGGCAGATTCCAAAACAGGTGATGCTTTCTTTTTACGGATCGTGATTAGAAAACATCACCA